TTTTATGTCGCGAAATGAAAAATTTAGTTTTCTTTTTCCGCAAAATAACGGCAAATTATGAAACATTACGCAACATTGAAAAGCGTGATGAACAAATTTTGCGAAAAGAAATAGCGACTGCTGCACGTATCTCACAGATATCTTTCATTCAACACAAAGGTGAAAAAGTTCTATTCCTGTTCAAAACATACCCTGCAGTCTGAGTCACAGACGGAAGAAATGACAGCAGGTCTTTTGTTCAACTGAGGGGATGTGTTTTATGGCTTACTCACTTTCCCGCCAAACAAGTACAGAGGAAGGAAGCGTCGTTGCCATAGTAACCAGGCTGTAGGTAGTCTTACAGATTTGAGTCTTTATCGCTCAACGTTCGTAGCGCCATCTGTTATTAAAAATCGACATGAGAAAGGGGTATTAAACGCTCTTAATACGGTTTCTAATAGGAGACTTATTACCTTTCATGACTGAAAATAACTGCTCGCACCAATAAGTGCTACCAACATGGAAAATTTCATATGCGAATTTCGAGTATTTTCAAACCTGGTGGTAATATTTGTAAAATTCAGGCACGCCCCTTCAATTTTTGCTTCAAATTTGAGTTGCATGAATCTCGATCACCTCCATTTGCATATGGCTGGGGTACTGAGTCAATACTTATTGAGAAAATCAAAGAAAACAAAAAAAAAATTGTCTTCGAGGGAACTAAAATCATTAAACCTCGTTTCAAATTCAGTTGTTAAATTTGCAATTTTTTCTACGTATTTTTGATACGAACAAGTATCAGAGTTCGCCCACATTCGGCTATCGGGGGATGCATGCAAGTTCTGAGTGCATGTGTCCCCCAAAAGCCGAAGGTAGCTAAACGCAAGCTACTCACACGCATTTGTAATTTAAGTAGTGTGTGTGTCAGCTCGCTGTGAGTAATCTAACAACACTGAATAAATTATCGTTAATTACTTAGCAGTAAACATTTCATTTTTTTCTTCGTCGATATGTTATTTTATTATTATTATATTATTATTTGCCGATATATTGGCCGGGCCGCAAAAATATTTGTTGTGGGCCGCGAGTTTGACATCCTTGGTCTACAACATTAAAAATATTCTTTTTTTTAAAATGTCGCAGAAAAATAAACAATGGTTTGAAGACTATACTTTTGCATTGTCTGAACAGAAAATACTCTTATTCAATTATTAAAAAAAGATGGAAAAAGCATGATTTTAATATTTCTACACATAAAATAAGTGACATAATTAATATGACTGGAAAGAAAGGTCAAAGTTAACATCTGACTGGGAAAAAGGCAAAAAAATGCATACCAAACAAAGATATGCACAACTCTTATTAAATCTAAAGTCACATCTCATGTTTTAAAGGAAAATCCAGCCCTCCAAAGAGCTATTGCAAAATCTTTAAATATCTCTTTAGGAACTGTGAACAAAATTAGAAAATCTGATTTAAAGCTAATCAAAACACGGGGAGGAAATATGTTCATCTAATGCTAAAACATGTTTCTCTGCGTAAGACTATGAGCAGACTGCTGTATGAAAATTATTTGGCAGGTGAAAAATGGAAATATATAGTTTCAGTTGATGTGGCTTGGATATACTTATCTGATTGCAATAGAAAAAGATCAATTTACTAAAAAAGATGAGAAAGACTTAATATGTTGGAACGGAGAAAACAAGGAAAAGTTTTTCTAAAGGTCTTATGATTTACTGGATTCTCATAACGGAAAACTTAAAATAAGGAAAGTATAAAAAAATTTCAAAATTAATTCAGATTCCTATCAGAAATGTTTTAACACTTATATGTAAAGAAAAAATTCCATCTCTTTATTCAAACAATTTTCACTGTGATAAGTTCCATCAGGATAAGGCTTCAAGCCATACATCTAAATCTACTGCTCTATTTTATAAAAAAAAATTGCATTAATGCATCCCACCCAAGTTCCCTGATATATCTCCTATGGATTAGTGTGCATTTGGACTTTTAAAACAAGCTCTTTATAAGCAGTATCCCAAAACATCGGATCGACTCACAATGGAAGATTGTGAAGGAGGAGTGGAATAAAATCAACCTTAATGTTTTAAGAACAGGACTTTTATCTTGAAAATCAAGATGTAATATGATACTTCAACAAAAGGGCTATCCGACTGAACATATTGGAAATTAAAATTATAAGGTCTGTTTATTTTTAAATCTTTGCAAAATCGTTACAAAAATTTGATAACACCCTCTGTATTTGACTTAAGTACACTGTAATAAGTATCAACTACAGACTTATTGTGTGCCCTAAAGAAGGTGCACTTAACTCTAAGTTGTTCATCCTTTCCTTGATGGCTGAAATCAGTGCCTCAATCAGTAACACTATACTTTATAATACATGTGGGGATTTTCCTGAAAAAATGTCTCACTTGCATTCAAAAGTTTTGTTGTGTGGGCTTGTAGATTCATAAGGAAGTTCAATGCATTAATAAAATAAAGTTGGTAAAATCTGTCCTTATTTAAGAATTTCTCTAAGAGTTTTTTTTTCCATACCCATAGAATCAAACAGGTGCTTTGCATTCTTTAAGTCTTTTGCAAGACATAGGATATTCTTTAAAAGGATTATCGAGTTCTGCTTTGAACTATACATATCATGGGAGAAATTACTATGTTTTAACAGGACACTGGATAATACTTTTGACTGGTGACTGTTTCTGCATCAAATATTCATCCACATTATAAGCTGTAAATGTAAAGCATTCTATATTGAAGATAAACGTGAACATTACTCAAAACACACCATATGGATGAAAAAAAAATTGGTATCTGCCAGGAATACCGTTTAATGAAATCTATAGTTTGCACCATATGGAAAACTCGAGACCATAATTTCTACCCATAGAAAAATTTTAGATGCGAGAAAAAAAGTTCAGACAGGCTGAGCATAAGGATATTAAAGCATTACTGAAAGGATTCATCATTCAAAGACTACCAGCCTTTGGTACTGTTGTAATCTGTCAGTATCTGTATAAATGTTTCAGATATGAGCCTGAATTTGTCAAACTCTATAGACATACTGCCTTTTTTTTGCTGAAATGGTTAGTTAGATAGATTTAAGATGTGAAACAAGAATTTTTTCCAGAAATATTGTGGGAGAATTAGCGTTTCAAAATTAAATATCAAGAAATGGGGGGGAGGAATATTTGGGATGACATCTCTCAACAAAGAAAACTAGAAAAAGATATTTTCAATGCTGATGAAGCTGGGCTTCTCTAGAAGATGATGCCAAATTAAACATTAAAAGTTTAAGACCAAAGCAAAGGAAAATTGTCAAAATGCAAATCACAGTTCTTCTGATGCTCAGAAAACACACAGCATTGAAACCTTTCATAACGAATAAAAAAGCTGTGATGCATGTAATCAACACATTTTTATTTATACGAACTGTAAAATTAAACATGACAGAAATTTTTAAATTTTTGTACAAAACTACAGATAAAATGTTTCAGCAGTCTGCATCATGCCAGCAGAAAACTATTATTCCCCCCCCTAAAAATTTAAGTAAAATTCATCAAAATATTTTATTACTTTTTAGTATTTTTACATTTTTATGAATAAAATAATTATTCATAGTTATTAATATGTAATTCGAGAAAAGATTCAGAACCATGGTTTTATACTAACTAATTTATCATGTAAAATTGTTAATATACAGTGAAAATGAAAAAGAACGACCAACAAATTTTTAACAACTGCAATAATAATTGAATCTCAATATGACTTTTTTAGTTTAATTTATTATTCACTTATTTTGGTACTTGGTCTTTTAGGGGAGAAATATCCGTCACACCAGTGAAGTTTCTTTCATAACAAAAAGTCTGTGAGAGGTAAAGATTTAATTCAATTAGTCTAAAAGAAATTTGAAGAACTGTCGAAAATTCTTAGAAAATTTCTCATTCCTGAATAATTACTGAACTACAACTACAGTGATTAGTTTACCTTTCATATCTACAGCATAAAATATACAACTTAAAAATATAGAATATTACTAATATACAAGGTGATCATAAAGAGACTTCTCTGATATATGAACCCCAGCTGCTTACCTGTTCAACCAATCGAAAGGAAATTTCAAATACTGTTATTTGAAGGTATGCACCCGAGATTGTGATGATTTTAAACAATAGCGCTCTCATGATTATGGTTACAGTAGAAAAATTTCTAAATTTTCCAATGGCAACACCCACTTTTTTCTGCAGAAATTAATCAGAGCATTAAAAAACTATAAACAGCAATGGAGCTATATATGCATGATGAAAATTGCCATCCTGAAATACTTTGCAAAGAACAGTTTTGTAAAAGATTAATGACAACACAATATAGGAGTCAGAAAAAAAAAAAAAATTATTGGAATTACAAATTTTCAACTTGTATAGTGTTTTAAGATAGAATCATCTCCCATAACTTTACAGTTTCACAGCTATCACTCTGATGGATTTCTAGTTCTACTATCACTTTCTAGTTGAGTCATCTGAAATCTAAGGTGTACACATCAAATCCATGAAATTTGACAGAATTGAAAGATGCCATAAAACGTGAAGTTATACATATTCCTCCTGCTACGTTACATTCATTGTTGTTGTCACCAATCTTCTGCATGCAGTGCGTTACCATCTGTGAAGATGAGCATGTTAAAAACATGTAACTACAATAAAGGTTTTTACCCTCTCTTCTCTCTTGTGTTGTCACTGATTCTTTACAATGTACTTGTTTGCAAATGTTTTACGATGGCAGTTTTCATTATATAATGTCATTTTATAGTTTTTTAATGTGCTAATCCATTTGCCCAGGAAAAAAGTGGGTGTTGCCATTCGAAAATTTTTTAATGTTTTGCCTGTAACCATAACCATGAGAGCTCAATGGTTTTAAATCATCACAATCTCAAGTGCATACCTTAATATATCTGAAATTTCATTTTGATTGGTTGAGTGGATAGGTCGTTAGGAATTCATATATCAGGGAAGTTTTTTTATGATCACCCTGTAATTCATAAATAATGAAAGATAAAAGTTCATACTTACATGTTCTGTAGCTAAATCACTCAAAAGATTAATAATTTTCAATTTAGTATCTGTTGATACCACATGATTTTGTAATATATTTGCTAAAATTAAGGCACCATTATTACTAAAGAACTCTTTTTGAGCTTCAGGCAGATTTCGCAAAAAGCCTGAAAGTACAATCATACCACGAGAATACAGGTTAGGAGACTCAGATAGGATATTTCTTAAACGAAGACCAATCTCTTTCTGGAGAGCAGCTTTTTGCACATGAGGATTCCTTAAAGAATGAAAAAATACATCAATTTAACACCTATTTCAGATATTCAAATAACAAAAAATACATAAATACATAAGGTAGTTGATGTAAGTTAAATTAATCAAAACAAGTTATATATTAAGAAATAATATTAAATTTTTTAGTCATTTAAGAGTATTTTGAAAGCTATATTGATCTCGACATTTCATTTTAAAATGTTATAAAGATTTCATCTTAAAAACTGAAAGAAACTTAATATTCCAATCTTCCCACAAAACAGCCTATTAAAATAATAATAATAATAATAATAAATTACAAATACTGCAAATGTTATCTAAAAATATATTTACAACAATGGCAGTTTTCTTAAATACTATAAGAAAGGGGATATAACCATATATCAATTCACATTAATAAACTATTTAGGTCAGTCAAATGAGACAGACCACAACAACAATGCATTAATAAAAGAAAAAAAATGCTTACAATAACATATGAAGCCATCAAAAAATAAAGCTTATCTTGAATGCAATTAAATGTAACATAATATATTTGTACATAATATAAGAATATAATTCCAATATGCAGATCTATAAATCAGTTTTAAAACTTAATAGCTAGGATGGAAATTTTTAATTTAATTTTTTCAATTACATTGAAAACACCAGGAATAAATTCTATGGCAAATGCTGAAATAGAAATTGATTATTTAATATTTTTTTTGATAATGATCTACTAAATTTGATTGCTGAAGAAACAAACAGGTTTGCTCAAAAAAGTAGTCTGTCTAAACCAGATTTTCAGATGTAAAAACTGAGAATATAAAAAAGCATTTTTTGCAATGATAATACTGAGGGCATTATCAAGAAGCCTAATTTGAAAATGTATTTCAATAAAAATTAAATATTCACTATTCTGTTTTTCAGCAGGGTTATGCCTAGAGATATGTTCCTTAATATTTTAAGATTTTTGCATTTCACCTCAGACAAGAGTGCTAAAAAGTTGGGAAAACTAGGACTAATCATAGAAAAGCTACAAAATAAATTTAAAAAAAACTATATACTTGAGGAAAATGCTTGCATCGATGAATCCCTTTTTGCTTGGCTTTCAACAGGACATTCCATCCAAAAGATTGTGTTACGGTATAAAAATATATAAGTTATGCAAATCAGTTACCAGTTATGTATGAAATTTTTTAATTTTCTGCGGGAAGAACAGCAATGGGTCTTATGGAGAAAGAGTAGTGAAAACATTGATGAGCGACTTATCTGAGAAAGAGCATAATTTACATTTGGATCGCTCCTTCAATTCCCTATCACTTGTGGAATATTTTCATTCTGTAAAACCGAATGTTTGTGGAACAATATTAAAAACAATATGAAAAAGAATGCCTAAAAACTTTTCAGGAAAAAAACTAAAAAGGGGTGAATTGGTAGTAATGCAGTAAAACAGCATGAACATTACTGCATTCAAAGATAAAAAGAAAGATGTTTTTATGCTAACAAGCATACGTGGACCAGAAATGGCTAAATCTGGCAGAAAAGATTGAATTACTGGAGAAAGTATTTTAAAGCCTAAATGTATTATAGATTATAACAAAAACATGGGTGATGTAGACATAGGAGATGCAGTTATGACACACTATTCATGTTCTTGAAATGCTAGGATTGAAAGTTTTTTCTAAAATTGGGCACAGTGATGCAAAACCCTCATCCTGTGCGATGACTGCCTTCGATTCTCTTCCGTCCAGCACGAGTGTCTTAAACAAAGGTGTGCCGTCAGTGAAAGGGTTAGGGGTAAAAACAGTTAGTTACAAAGTCAATTGGTTATGAAGTCAATTTATGTAGTTAGATATCCTTAGTCATAATAGATTTACATGATTATAATTACAAATTTTTCTTCTAAATTTCCAAAAATTATCCATCAAAAAGTACTAAAAATACTTTATAGCAGTTTTAATTTATTACATTGATTGTAAAAGGATATTCATATAATTAATACATTAAAAGTTACAAAATATTTCCGTTTTGTAGCAACAATAAATTTTAAAGCATTTTTTCAATTTGAAAACGTTCCAGACTTTTTCCTTCTCATTAGCATCTTTTCTACGTTCATTTGTTTCAATATACATAAAGCAATGCTCCCATTAGTCTCTGCTTCATCTCCTAATTTGTTAATGGTTTAACAATGTACCTTTGAAGAATTATTTTCTCACCCTTTATAAAATCAAATCCTTTTTCAATGAATTTCCTCTTCATTTAGAATATTCAGTTTTACTTAAAGATTCTTTTATTCTAAAGAACTGCTTGTATGGATGAATGCATAGTACACTAAGAATGTATAGCAGAAATTGCCAGTTTTATTTACTTAATACTAATTGAGAACAAATATGGAATGATATAAGGCCAGTATCAAAGCCAGTGTGGCAGTATTTTTAGAATTTAGTGAAGCAGTCAGCTAGAAATTTTACAGTAAAATGTTTAGAATTTAGGGCAGGTATTGAGGTATATATGGTGTGCACTGAGACATATATGAAGAATCTTTTAATTAATTGACGGGTTTCAATTTCTTTCCTGTCTTTAATTGCTTCAATGTTTGTCTAGTGGAAAGATAAGAAAATAAAGGGAAGATAAAACAATCTAACAGAAAGACTTCTGGGATCAAAACGAAAAAAATTCAAGTAATTTTGTTATCACTCTTCTTCCAGAAATTCTTCAAAGGGTAAGAAATTCATCATAAGTTTCATATAGAACATGTTAATATCATGAAGACATTTTTTGTTTCATCACATTTTTTTGGAAGTTGCAGTTTATAAACTTTGCCTTTACATTTTCCAAGGTGCAAGGTCTAAAATCCAAAAGAAAAATTATCTCCACTAACTCTGGAACAGCAAAAAGCCAAAAGATTTTCGATATATACATGTTAAAAAAAAATTCAGGAAAGAGAAGTGTTAAAACGAATTTTGAAGAGAAAACTGATACACATTTAAATATTCTGAAACAATTACATAGTAAAAAATCTCTTATATGAAAAAATATAATAGAAGATAAAAGAAATTTATTTTTAAATAATTACAGTAGCATTTGTTTTATCTCAGAAGAGTTTCAGAAACTGTACTTTGTAGCATTTATTATCTTTTTGCAGGATCAAAATATTCAAAAATGGAAAATAATGTCACTTTAAAATATAACAGAAGAGAACAAAAGTGTTTTATTTTAATGTTATTTCTTAAATACTATTTTAATATATATTATCATTATTTTTATGCAAAATTTGCATATCTCCAAATAAAAAATTTTGTACATAAACTGATCAGCAAAATGTTTTTGAAATGAATTTGAAATCGCCAAAATGTTGATAAGTCGCTAAATTTATTGCTACATAATAAAAGAACTCATATCCCAAAAAAATGAGAAAAGCTGTTTTGATGTAATATTTTATGAATTCTTCATTCAGAAAGTTCCAATTGAGGTAAGGCCTCGTGTCTCAAACTTGAGTACCCACCATTTACATTCAGAAACAGGAAAGAACTCAAACATTAACCCATCAAATAACATATTTGTCAATGCATCACCAAATATCCTCCAAAATGTTAATTCACATCAAAATGACAGTCATTAAAAAAAAAAAAAAAGACAGTTAAGAACCTATTGCAAGTTTTGGCTGAAATTAAGGACTTCTAAGGACCAAAAGTAACTTCTAAAAAAACCTAAGGACTTTTAAACACATTTAAGGATTACATGAGCCCTGAGACTAGTGATTCATTTAATCATACCATCAAATATGCATAACTGCTTCAGAAATAACCATAAACAAAACAAACTGTGCATTTCCATATAAATTAAATATGAATATAACAAAGCAAAATCTTGAACTATGTGCCTCAATAAATGGCAAATATTACACACAAAAAAAAGAGCATATTTATTTCAATATGATTGTGCCTGAATAGGCTTTTTTGTATTCAGACAACTGCAATACATTTTAGGCATTTATGCCACCATCCACACATACACAGCCCATTAACTTAAGAAAGGCTGTTATGGTGAAATATGATTTCTAATTTAGATTTAAAGGAAAGGTATTAAGAGAATTACTAATATCATCAATGTAGTGCTTTCGGGGCTAATTGAGTTTATGGAGCAGTACATCACATTAAATAAGTTTAAATTAACATCACTACGTTAGCTGTGAATTAAATTATAAGAATAAATTATTATATTAACAATAAATTATCTTGCCAGAAAAAAGTATACATACATTTGTGTTATAAAGTATTCAGTGCTTTTTAAATTAAATCAATGTTATTAGTTCTTAGTTCAGCTGGACTGTTTATGACACAAAATTCTTTTGATACTCCATGATATGCTCCAAAAGCTGAACATTAATAATCATAATTTCTTTCTTTAAAGTAATTTCTAAATTTGCATATAGCTGATTTAGCTCCCACTCTAATTCTTTATTTTCTCACTTGCCTCACTCTTGTCCTAGCTGTGTGAAATATATTAATTTTAGGAACTAAAAAAATTTGTAAAAAATATATTCATTGACACACACTAGCATTACTGTATTAAATGCAATCTAATTTTTTTGATTTCATACTTTTCAAAAATTTTCCTGTTATTAAATCATACTGGTAAAATTTAAATGTAGTAAAAACGTACAAATATAAATCCTATACTAATTAATATTTATTAGCCATAGATAATCTTAGATTTGTCATACAATTTCGTGTTTCTTGTTTATGTACGAGTGGTATAAATTTCCATCTTACCCTTGCATGGCTGCCCCAAGTACTGAAAGAATAGAAGACACAATATTCTCATCAGACGATGAAAGGTGAGAAAGAAGCAGTTCTAAACCTCCCATAGTGACCAAATTTACACCAACATCATACTAAAATACCAAATAATTAAATAAAAACATTACATATGCAAATTCAAATGAAATAAATGATAGATAATATTCAAATAAATACCTAAAAAACATGCATGTAACTTTGTCTCAAATGAAAGGAAATAAGTATCATTAAATATATTTTTTATTTATTTAAAAAAAAATTTACTAAATAACAATGTAAATATAAACATAGGCTGATAATTTACCCCAAAACGATGATAATTATGAATATTATGCAAAGCTCATAAAATCAGATTAATTTTACTTCCATATTGTTGCCAACCTTGAGATAAAAATAACTTGGGAGTTTTTCACATGATGTGGTATGTCATTTCAGAACATACAGACATTAATTAATTTTATAATGCATGAGTCAAGTTATTGAACTATATACAAAATGATCCTGATGTAAAACACATTAATATTTAATTAGATATTCTAATGTTTATGTTTTGGGCTAATTTCGTTTCGTAATTTTCTTACATTTTTATACTGAAAAAAACCTGAACAGGTAAAGAAAGCTTTTATTAAACAACATACTACTGAATAGGCTTGAAAATAAAATGAATAATTAATTGTGAAGGGGTCGTTTTAGATAGGGTCATAGAAAAGTCCTGTATAGTGTAACAAGTATTTATTAACAGGTTTAAGTTACACACGAACATTACATTTAACTTTAAGAAAAATTACAGAGTCTGGTACAATCTATCATGTGGGACACTTGACTTTTACTGAAGTACTTCTCCGGCTACTCACCAGAGGGCAGCCTTGTTGTCACAGTTAGTCCAACAGTTTATGTTAAAAGATTGGTTACATAATGCAAATACTATTATGTGGATAAACATAGTAACCTACCATGTTGATGTAAAACAAAACTGAATATAAATATTAATAGTTTAACCACTGGTTGAATCTTCATAAAAAGTTCTACAAATCTCTGTTGTTGATTCAGACAGTTCAAATCAAACAAAACTGAATTAAAAAAAATTATGCTGAAATCGCAAGGACTATAGGAATGGAACTTGTACAATTTAAGTTTTATTAAATCAATATTTTTTTTTCCTTCAGGAAAACATTTTACTTAGCAATGGATAAATTAAAAACTGGGAAATTCTGCATTCCACCATGAAACAGCTATGCCTTCATAAATACCTAATTAAGAATGTGGTCTACTCTTCACTCGGCATAAAATTTAATGAAAAATTTCATAGTGGTGATAATTCCTGAATAATTAAATTAAAAACAGTTTTAGATTTTAACTGTAATAAAATGTACTTTAAGAAGGGGTGGAAGCAAAAAAAATGATGCATAACATCGATCCCAAAAAATATATTCTACAATTTTATTTCAGAAAAAGTACATTCAGCGATGAACTGCTATTTTACTGTTTTTCATAGTCAGCAGAGTGCACACACATCCTCCTAAATGAAAGACAATGCAGTTCTTTGTTTTATTAAATATTAAACAACAATGACTGACAAAAACTTTATTCTCTTTCTTATTTCTTTCTTAAAGTATATCATAAAAATAATTCGTTTGAGGAAAAAGAGTCCTTTATTTTGTCATGCAAAAACATTGTTAAATTGCATTCATTAGTGGTCAAAATGGATATTTTTGTTGAAATATGGTACTGGGAATTTTTTATGATTACAATACTTCCTTTACTTTGTACAAGGACGTAAAAAGAAAGAAAGAAAAAGAAAAATGTGATATAATCATCTGAAATGTTTCTGAATTTAATTCAAAATTAGATTCAATGATGCATTATAATATATTATTGTTTTAAAATAACACTTAGGATATGAGATGGTTTCATCTTCAGGAAGTTCATCAAAATGGCTTTAACCCTTTAAAAGGCACTGGTATATAAAATATACTGGAAGTTTGCATATTATTTAACCTCCTAAAAATATTAATTTTCTACGCCAAAAGCCGTAATCGTAAGTTTCTAGCATTTCCTTTTGATTCTAAATGGCAGCATTAACCTGTGGATGCTCAATATTTTGCAGTTATAAAATTAATATACCTAGTTTCAAGGTATCATGTTTGAAGATTCATAAATTCTATTGGAGGGGAAGAAACAATTCAAAATCTAGAAATATATGACATACACATGTTGAATCTTATATATTTACTGCATTTTAGTCAAGAGTAATAATTAAAAGCTCATTTATATAATTTTAAGAGCCGTATATAATATATACCAGCACCCATACTGAGGGTACCATGCCAATAAATGGCAGCATCAGGCTTCTTCTCTACTCTGTGAGATGACAGAATTTCTTTATATTATAAAAATTTATGATGTAATAATTTGTTTATGATTCATTTACAAGCTCTTTAGGATTCAACATTATGTTCATGGGGGGAATGGGAAGTTTACTGACCTGTGCTGGGACTGAATATACATATAATAGTTTCTTTTTTTTATTCTTTGTTTACTCCACTTGAGTTTCTCATTTGTCTCTGTTAAGCTAAAATTTTAATTTCAACACTTCACTCTTTCCCAGGAGAAAAATTCATCGATTTCAAAATTGTCGTCTGGTGTCAAAATGTTACACAATTGCAAGGGTTAAACGTGGCATGTTAGCCCTGAAAGGCACTTGTTGCTTCACGTTTCCCAAAACCCTAAAATGCAGCGAAAATGAAAAGAGGTGATTGATAACTTATTTGTCATGTGTGGGTTATGCCATCTTCACAAAGGGGCTGTAATAAGATCACACAAAGGGAATGGCTCACTTAAAAGTACGGGAAATAGAAATGCACTTTAGATTGATCTCTTAATGAAATGGAAAAACTGTCAACTTGAAAGCATGCTTTTACTGTTTAGGGTATCGTATTTGTTAATTTCAGAGACTAGGGAACACAAGAGAAATTTTCCCCTGGTTTAGGATACAAATAGGTGGTTTTCAAAATAAATTTTCACAGTTGGTGAAAGGACGGAAAATATTTCTAAGACCAGTTTTAGATGCAAACCAAAATTTATCCAAAAATTGAAATGGGACCCCCTAGGAGACCAAAGACCCTGAAAATCAAAATAAGAGCTTTGAGGGGTATCAAATAATAAAATTGTTTAACAACGTTTCTTCCTAAACAAAATGATATATAATTTTTATACTATTATACACCTAGATTTACGAAATCTTACAAATTTACAAAATTTTATCTATTATATACATATATTTACAAAAAATTTAAAAGGGCCCTTATGGGCCTCGATAATTGAAAGTATGGGGGGGGGATTCTTGGTATAAAGCATGCTCTTTTTTATATATGTTATTTAAAACATAAGATAAACTTCAAAACTGCAACATATTTCTCAGCTGAGTCATAGTGTTTCATTTTCCAATTTTCTATTTTTCAGCTGAGTTACATCTCCTTGTAACATTATACTAGTTCAGTTACAGCATGATACAGTTTACATATACAATGTTATATTTGCTAAATTTTTTCATAAAATAATAATATTGAATTTAAATCAAATTCAAAAGTTCTTTACCCATATATTACATAAATATGTTCAGCTGAGTTGCATCATCAAAGTGCATAAAATCATAAATTTTACTTTTAAAATTTTAAATTTCCATTTAAAAGTTTTAGTCTTCAGACTTACATAACTATATTCAAGCACTCATCTCTATAGACACACATCAAAAGTACACAAAATTAAATTTAAAAACAAAAATTAACAATTGGCAAATACCTGGAAAAAAACAGTATCTTAGAGGGGCACCGGTATAAAATGTATACTGACTCAAAATTCAGGATTTTGCTCTAGATTTTTTTTTTTAAATCTCAATTTTGTGTTCTTAGGGTCAATAAATAACAATTCATGCAAAATCTTACCACAATTTATTCCACAATATTTCATTTCCTTCCAAAACTGAAGTAATTATCAGTTTCCTGATTTTAAAGCCTTCTAATGTACCTGAGTAAAATATCTGGTAATCATGTGATATGCGATTTACTGTTTTTAGTTATTTTTTTAGAATGTAGGAATGAAATTGGTTCTGTTTTAATAACTCTTTTCCCTTGTCATTTTAGCGCATGCTCGAATTTAAAAATAGCCTTTTAGTCACGCCATCTACAAAGCACATAACTAACAAAAGGAGTAGATTACACAGATGATTACCACATATTTTTTTAATTTAATATGTTAAACCTCATACTATTTGCAAATCAATATTTTTATTCAGATACAACATTTTAACCAAAACTTTATTCAAATTAGATTCAAATTAATGCACCCTTTTATTCTACAATTTTTAGAGAATTTTCATAATATCTTACAAACATACATAACTTCAGATTCATAAATTTTGCCCAAACTCTGCATAATTATTTAGATTTTAAACATAGTAGATTTATGAAGGCACAATATGCAGCTTTCAAAAATAAGCAAGAGAATCAATGTAAGTAACAAATCATTGCCTATGTTTCAAACTCTACTAGAATCCTTCATGGCATAGTGGTTAATGTATAAATGCTGTTAGCAACCAGTCTTTAGTTTTAATCCTGTTGGCCACAGCACTCTTTTTATTGGTTCTACTTATGATTTTATGCTATAAGAGTCATTCAAATGAAAGTGGCATTGCTGTAATAACTCCGCTATTTGAAAAGAAAGATGACTCCACATGCACCCATAGATGGCACTTTGTGCTCGGATTGCATGGGATATCACCAGATCCCACCAGATGAGTGTGTGATAGTGCTGGAGCACATCAAGAGCCATCGTTCACATCATGGATGTCTCCAAATGGTGTCAGTGCATGGTCGTGCAATTTCAAACAGCAGGAAATGTGAGTGCTTCTGAAATCTATCAGCGAATGCAAACTGTGTATGGCATGAAGTGTATGAAACACAGATCGATATTCTGATGGTGCAGTGATTTTCATAGTGGAAGAAGCAGTACTGACGATAGGCAACCAGGTCAAGTGCATGTGGCCAGGTCAAGCCAACAACCAGGTCAAGTGCATGTGGCGATTACCCAGGAAGCAGTATTGTGTGCACACTTCCTATGCTCATAGACATTTCCTCTGTTATTTCTCGAGTGGTGATTCGCCGATTCGTTTTCACAAGACGGTCCACATCTGCAATTGCTTCCACACATCATCCTGTCACCTGTGTATCACATGTACTTAACCAGGTTGTGGCCTGTCGTCAGTACTGCTTCTTCCACTGTGAAAGTCTGTACACATTGGAATAACGATCTGCATTTCATACACTCCATGCTATACACAGTTTGCATTCAGCGATAGATTTCAGAAGCACTCATATTTCCTGCTGTTAAAAATTGCATTACCTCGCGTTGACACTGTTTGGAGGCATCCATGATGCAAACGATGCCTCTTAAAGTACACTGACGCTATCACACACGTATCTTGCAGGATTTGGTGATATCTCATGTAATCCCAGCATTCAGTGCCCTCTATAGGTGCATGTGCAGTCATCTTTCTCTTCAAATGGCAGAGTTATTACAGCAATGTAACTTTTATTTGAACGACCCTTATACTTTAATTTAAGAAGAAAAATTACTCATGGAAAACACTTTATCAGAATAATGCAAAAATAAATAAAGAAAAAAGAATGTTTATGAACTTTCCAATTGCATTATTCTGACAGTTACCCAGATAATTTTCACAAAAAGTATACCTTCAATTTTTAGATAGCTTAAATGTATGAGATTTTTCATGGAAAAATTCAACCAGAATTCATGTTTTGATATGCTATAAATCGAGTGCCCCACTTTTTGAGCTACTACTCAAATTTTCATGTGATTGATGCTAAAATGCTTTACCGTTTTAATTTTTTATGACAAATATCATCCTATCAGTTATAAATAAATATGCAGAAAAGTTCATTATATTAAAACAAAATTTATTTTAAACTTTTTTTACGAAAATTTTATGTCACACAGCATGACCAAAATTCTGCACTGCTTAGATTGTGCAGATTTTAGATCATAAATGAAAATTGATAGATTTAGACCTCTTCCTTTACAAAAAGGAAGAAATTAATAAATTCAAAGAAAATTAGAACAAAATTTAATTAAAACTTTTTTACAAAAATTTTGTGTCACGCAGTATGACCAAAATTCTGCACAGCTTAGGACCTCAGACTGTTCAGATTTTAGATCACAATGAAAACTGTTACAAAAAGAATAAATAAATTCAAAGAAGGCTTACAAAAGCAATTCATACCTTTTTTACTTTCTTGTGCAGAAATGTTCAAAATATACATTAAACATGTTAGAATGTTTTTAAAAAGGTAAGAAAGGAAAGCAGAAAAACATTTTTACACTTTACAGATCTATTTACAGAAGTTTGCTTTAAAATTTCAAGATGTTTTGCTTTGAATCTCACTCAGCACCCCAAATTATTCCTGACAGTTTTATAATTCAGAGTTCCTTTTTTTCTTTTCACTATTACTTGAGGAAAATTATTAATTATAGCTGCACTATGATTTAACAAAAAAAGTATTAATTTTACTTCTACTCATAAAAGTTCTTGCACTTTTTCTGCAACAGGACAGCAGTCATCACCAAACCTAAATATCGATGCAAAATGCAGCCTGAAATAATAATGACAATGCGTTTTCTGAGAAATTGTGCTTTTTATTACTTTTGATTGCAATTACGTTAATTTCTCAAAATGTATTTAGAATATTGAAATGAAATTTTGCCAAAATGTTTTATTCATCTTTAGCTGTGTTCTGTAGCAAAATCTGACCTCTTTGTATTTATTTATTGATTTTACTGACAGTATTTTGAAGATTTTTTTTTTTTTTTTTTTTTTTTTTTTTTTTTTTTGAGTTTTGTACCAAGTTTTGAATATTTCAAAAAATTTTATAAGTACAACAAATCTGTTGCTACAGAACACAGGTAAGTATGTTATTTATATACTGTGTAAAGATTATTGAAGTATATTCATTAGAATCTATTACAGGAGATCTGGCATAAATGAAAATTTTCACTAAAATTTTACCAAATATTGCCTATATTTAAAAAAATAATAAAACGCTCTATAAAATCCTATTTAAATTCATACTTTTATATCCCATCTTACTCAAAAACATGCGTGTTTAATTAAAATTTTATGTATTTAAAAAAAGTGCTCCATATGTAAGCACATGCTAACAAATTTGTTATGAATAATATCCAAATCTCAGCAAAAACTAGCAAACCCATCTGCATTTCACATATAAGGGACTAAGATTTCAAATGTTTGGATTTTTTATCTACTGTATTATTATCTTTTTTTTTCCCCCATTATTGCTTAAATATATTCTAATGAATTATTTTTTTTTAATTAAAAACATTGATAATATTTTAAAACAGCAATAACAGTGCACAGCAGAATTTGCCTTGTATGCTACTTAACTGCGGCACTCCCACATTGATCTCTGTGGCATAAGGGACTTTTGTAAATGACAGTCTCTTAGTGACAAATGACAGAGTCTCCCGAATGGCTAAATCTGATTATAAAGACCAGTATTTAAACAGCATTTATTAGCTAAATTTGTATAACTCATAATTTAATCTATTTTTCACGAACTTACGGATTTTAATATGATATTTACATCATTAAAGGAACATATTTTACATTGTACAGCTAAAAAAATCTTATGAGCATATAAAAGGTAATCCTGTCACTCGGAGGTTAAACAATGTATACCTATACAGAATTTTAACTTCACATTCTTTGCTTAATTCTGAAAGGTGCAATTCCCCCCCCCAAGAGATACATTAAACTTATCTAAAATTATGCAACGATTCATCAACACAGATGAGTCTAAAGTTGTAAGTTGTCCTTAGTCGTAAATACGCGTACATTTTTCAAGTTTTTAATCATTTAATGAGCAATTTAATGAAAGACAAACTAAAAAGCATTTTAACACTCTGAGCGGCACAGGATTTTAGATCCGTCATGAAGACCGGTATTTAAACAGCATTTATTAATTTTGTATAATTACTTATTTCAGTCTGTACTTTCATAAATTTACAATCATTAAGATGATATTTACATTATTAAAGAAAGTAAGAAAGCAAAATATCTTAAATTATAAGCTACTACAGTACAAGGTCTATAATCCGGACGCCCATTATCTGGAATGATCTATAATCCGGACCTCAAAGCCACAAACTTACACATGCACGTAAAGTGTTTACGCATGCGCATAAACCCAGTAAAGCATTTACCCATGCGCGCTTCCGATAGTGAAGAAAGTTACATTGAAAGAAATGTTTAATAAAGTAAACAAATAAATATTACTTTTTTTTGTAAATTTTGATACCCTTTAGATCATAATTGCTCTTTATTTCATAAATTACGGTTTCATATTTTTAATTGTATAATTTCTACATGCAATCTTACCAGATTTAAATTGATGACCTATAATCGGGGAAAACCCCTAATTCGGAATCGCCGAAGTCCCAATGAGTCCGGATTATGGACTTTGTACTGTATATGTCAAGTAGGAAAACTTCTGATGACCGCATAAAGCCAGTCATAACGCTCAGAGGGTTCAAGACTGCCATCTATATAAATCAAAGAACCAATTTTTTTCTATTACACGTTATTATGTTAAAAATTGCATACGTTTAATACACAATATTGCAATGTGCACCATAAGCATTAATTTACCTGATGGACCAGATCTTTCATATCTTGTAAAAGTGACATTTTATCTGAAATATTCTTCTGAAAATCAGAAAGAAGAGCTTCCAAATTGTCTGATTCTGACTGTATTGTAGCTTTCCTTATAACAGATCTTCTTAATTCATGATGAATGCCCTTGAGCTGGGAAGACAAAAAATCAAGATATTACATCTGCACTGAAAATTTAAATAATTACTAAATTATGATACATATAAATTAATAGCTTTCGCTGAACTTATCATTAGAGAAGATAATTTAAAAAGCATGAAATTTTCTGCAACAAGTATTCATAAGATAAAGATCAAAGGATTGAAAAATCAAATTACTTCTTCCTCATTTTTACTCATACCGCCTTTTGAGTGTGAAATATCTTTTGCAGTTGAGTGCAGTAATGATAGTTCATCAGCTGTCAATTTATCATGTTTTTTAGACTCTGTAACAAAGAAATAGATTTTTAAAAATGACACAACTGCATATTACAAAGATAGTATTTCACAATTCTACATAATTAATTTAACCCTCTGAGTGCAATGGCGGATTTTATCCGGTCATGAAATTTTTTGTTACTTGGTATATACTAGCTTATAATTTAAGATATTTTGCTTTCTTACTTTCATTAATAATTTAAATGTCATCTTAATGTATGCAAGTTTATGAAAATAGAGACTTAAAATAGGTAAATATACGAATTTTGCTAATAAAGGTTCTTTAGATACAGATCTTCATGACAGATCCACAAAACCTGGGCTGCTCAGAAGGTTAAAAAAGATTTTCTCTCACAGGATAACTGTAACTGTAATTTATACCGCCGCCCGTGAACTAAATCACATTCGGGGTCTGGCATCAAACACCAGAAACAGTCACACAAAGATGACTTTTGACACTCCTGCTGGGCCTGGAGTCCCACATTCCCGAGTTAACCAACAAATTATTCAGCTCCCTCTGTTAAACGCTCAATGTTTAGCAAACCCACCGCTAAACACGGACCAGTCAGAACCACCGTCCCGGCCGGACCGAGACCACAGTAGGGTGGGCGATGATACTTGGAGCGATGACTGCCCGTTGATTGAGGCTACTTGCCAGCACTACACAGGATGACCCTCTCCTTAGGCTTTACATGGAATACTAAGGACAGTAGTGACCGGACTCTCAATGGTCCAGTTTTCTATTTCGCTACCAGTACCCTGGTGGACGGGACTGACACTTCCCGGCCCAAGTATAGACTCACCCTGTGGACCATCAGGAACCACCAAGTTAAAAAATTTTATACCCCCATGGCCAATACTGCCTAGGTACAGGTCCTAGCCAGTACTTCGCAGAGTACTCTACGTCGACCCCCGGGGTGGAAGGTAACACACACACACGGGAGGAAGGGAAAGGTACCTTATCCTGATCTCACAGGATAAGGTAAACATTTGAAAATTTTAAAAAAGATCAAACTGATTTTTATACATATATAAAAACCTTTCATAGTGTTTATGCTACTTTAAATATAAATAATTAAAGAACTGCTAACAAGGATTATTATAAGACAATTAAGAGAAATCTTTAAGGATAAATTTCAATCCTTATAGACATATCTAGAAATTAACGTAAATATTGACATACAAAAGTATGTAAAATAAACAATACAGGAATAAACATTTCCAAGTTTTTTTTTTTTTTTTTTTTTTTTGAGAGGGGACACAAGATATACAAAAGAGCAAGAAATTTTTACAAACCATTTCTTAGTCATGAAATCCAAAATAATGATCTTCACATGTTCAGATATCAAAGTACATTCTTTAACAGTAACAATGGGAACAGGAAATTGCTAGGTTACTTTAGTATCATTGAAAATTCATTTGCTAACATATTAACTCTGACATTTCTATGATCTGTTTCAGATATAAGAGTTCTAACTCTTACAGGTATTGGCCATGTCCCTCTAGTTTGTTATACAGCTTACAGATACATTTTCAACATAAAGGTTCATTAATTGATGAAAGAGCTGGCATATTTACCAGACTATTTAGATTACTTTTATTATCAGCACTTAAGATCTGATTATTCACTTATTATACTTATCTGATTATTTGCATGGCTTTCCACAAAAAAATCACTATCCATGACAAAATTTTCACAAAGACATGAAAGACAACAACCATTTACAAAAATGACAGCACATTAAAAATCACCAACCAGGACTGCCCACACAGGTCTTGCCTTGGGCTAATATTATGGAACATATTAGCTGATTCAGCCTTTGTACTATTCAAAAATAATTGAACATATAAACATTCAGCCATATGCAGATGTTTTTCTGCTAGTTATAAAAGGTCATTTAAGAACAGAGTATCAAACTACAGCCTAACATGCAGTGAATTTATTCACAAGCTGGCCAAAAGATCACGAGCTCACTACATCCGCAACTAAAACCCAAAGTTTGCTCATTAGTTCAGCCCAAAGACACATGTACCCCTTGTGTAAAAATTTATGGAAAAAACATGAAAGTTGTGAAATAATTGGGTGTTCAGATTGAAGATTAACTTAACTGGCATGAACATATTGTGCAAATTAAACAATTGCACAAGTTATCTAACTCATTCGACAGAACCACAGCAGCCTGGTGGGGAGATGATCCTACGAATATGGTATCATATTTTAGCTGAAGTAATAACAAAAAGTATGCAATTGCAGCACATCACAAAAAATATGCAATTGCAGCACATAACAGCACAACGACCTTTTACTCCTTAGCTGTTGGGAATACAGAGATCCCCTATCCCTACTATGCAGTAAACATCCTAGCTGGCCTCCCCCCCCCATTTCATTCTATAAAAGGAAAATGTCAGTCTGCACATTTATACTGCATATAAATACATCTCTGAGGGACAAAGAATTCATCAGCACTGACTATAAGTGCAGTACTCTATCACCTGGAAGAATTGAACCTTGATATGAGACTACAAGCTCCATCAGCTCAGTCATATGTGGTATATAATGATGGATCAAGGGAGACCAAGGTACAGGCTTCTGTGTGAGGCACCAGCAGGGTATTTACTTGAGCACAAAGACTACATTCTGTCAGTACAGTGTTTCAGGGTGAGTTTGTAGCACTCAGAGCAGCAGTTCACTACAGCATTCTAGTTGGTCATGAATTAACCAAATATTCTGATTCAACATGTACTGCCTATTCTATACAGGGTTGGAAAAGCATGAATGATGTAATCAAGATTCAGAGAATGTGATACCAAAACCAGAGAATGTGACAACTCCTGGCCAGAAAATATGACACTGGAGTACACAGCAACAAACAAGCAGACAAAATCCCAAACAAGTTGCCATGGATGAATAGTACATATCCATGCCCAAAGTCACACATGAACGCAATCAATAGAGCCCTTTTAAAGGAGTAATGGCAAAGCTCCTGAGAAAACAATAATTCCTGCAAAGGAATATATAATTTCCTTCTCAAGATGAGTTATGCAGTAGTACTAAACAAAACTCCAACAAAAAACTAAAACAGTGGTGCAACAGCCCTAGTTAGCCAAGGCCAGCAGTGCCCCAAAATCTGCTTTCTTGACTATGGGCCCCCAGGGTGCATAACCATATGCCCTGAATAAGTGGTCAGCTTGTCGCAGAACCCCCAAGTGTTTAGACCCCAAGTGAACTTGGTACTCATTTTATTGACCAAAGGGATGAAAGGCTGAGTCGACCTTGCCCAGCCCAGGTATCGAACTCTTGACCTGTGGTGCTGCTATGTGATGCGCTAGCCTCTATGCAGTAGTACATGCTGACATAATTCTTAATGGGACATGGTCCACATATATGAGCTACTTATTTCATTTCAGTTTCCAGCATAATGCACAAGCGTAAGTGGAAAGTTTGAAGACACTGACCATTACACTTATGACAGCCAAGAAACAAGTGCTTATCATGTCCAAATTCTGTCAGCTGGAAACAAACATGTAGGAGCAAACAACATATGCTGCAACCTGTATGTGCTCAGATGTATCCAGAACTGCACTTAAATAACTCTCGGAACCACGCGATTAAAAAATTAGACAACACATGCAGCAGCAATCCACAACCGCGAGTAGACAAATTTGCAAGTTGCCAGAGAAAAGCTATGAACTTGAAAAATATACAATATGAATATTTTTTTCAAGACAATGATATACTAACACAGTCACCTAGACAGTATAGTGATTAGGGGAGCCTGAATGCAACACAAAATGGCCCAGGTTCGAATCCCGAAAAAGGCATGGATTTAAAATTGTCTGTCCCTTCATAGGAAGTAGCGGTGACCACCTATTACAGTCAAAAGTCGTTAATTCGGACACCCATAATCTGGAATGATCTATAATCCGGACCTCAAAGCTACAAACTTTCTGCGCATGCGCCTTGTTGACACATGCGCGTAAGACCTTTACGTCTGCGAATATGCGTATGCGCAAAATACGTTTACAAATGCACGTTTAATGTATAACGGACGGTATAGGCTAAGCTAAAATTATCTAATTCAGTTAATGTTGCAGATTGCGTTGTTCCTTAATCTTCGAATTGGATTCAGCTTATTATTTTTTGCAGACTGTTAGAACAATTTTATAAAAGTAAGTGTGAACTTTCGATTATGTCAAATAAAATTTAATATTTATTAAATCAAATAAAATTTCTGATATATATTTACTAATATCTAAAGGATCTACAAAGCGAAAGTATGTTTCGAAGTCCATTAAACAAAAAGTGGAATTGCTGCAAAAATTGGATAAAAGCCTATCCTTTGTTTATCTAAACTTTAACGTTTGTTTATCTAAACTTTGTTTATCTTTAACGCTGCGGTGCGCAATGAATTGGAAGTTGATCTGTCAGCACTATCCTTATCTTCAGGGCAGATGTTTTTTATTTTATTTGGCTTATAATTCCTTACTAAATGTATTATTTCATCTTGATGTACTCCTTTGATATGATTTAAATCAAATTCCTCGTCATTATAATTCACTTCCAATAGCGAAGAAAATGACAGAGGTTATTGAAAACGAAAAAATTTCGATTGACAAATTAGTCGGTATTCTCGACACAGCAATTATAGGACTTGAACAGCAGAACTTTGTAACTGAACAAGAAATTATGTCTGTTTATAGAATTAAAGAGAATGTATTATCACATAAAAAACGAAGCAACTTAAACAACTTACATTGAAAGAAATGTTTAATAAAGTAAACAAATAAATATTAAGCTTTTTTTTTTTTTTTTTGTAAATTTTGATACCCTTTAGATCATAATTGTTCTTTGTTTCATTAATTATGGTTTCATATTTTTAATTTTATAATTTCTGCATGCCATTTTACCAGATTTAAACTGATGATCTATAATCCGGAATCGCCGAAGTCCCGACGAGTCCAGGTTAACAACTTTTTACTGTAGTTGCCTCCACAACAAAAGCAGCCA